TTAGTGGCTGGCCCAGCCTCAAACAGTGACACTCGCTTTTAGAGGGATTCCAATACCAAGTGAATTGTTCAGAAGTATTTAAATACATGAGTTTAGCACGTCAGGGTTCCAGAGTCCACCTGTATTTCTGGACCTCAGACACTGCATACAGTAATAATTCAGCAGCCAATGGACCAGTGCAGACCAATGGCAACCTGTAAGGGCACAGATCATCCTGTACTGCAAGTTCACAGATCACATTATTTAGAGAGGCCTCCTATACTCCCTGGCTGAGACAGCACAAAGGCTTTATAGACACAGCTCTCGAGATTCACTTTCTATTCTTCCTGGGTGACACACCTCCTGACTACAGTACAGCACAGAGGCCTTTCATCATCTCAATTTGCTGCATCAGACGTCTTCCCTGATGTATGACAAGCCCTCCAACCACACTCTTGTAGAGTGGTCTGCAAATAAATAGGTTTGGTAACTAAAGAGCTGAAGTGGGAGTTAGTCTGAAATTGAAGTGAAGGAAATCGTTGAAAACACGGGTCTAGCACTATCTAGTGGCAGTAGAAAGAGAAGAAACTACTGCTTTACCTATTATGTTGTATTTCTGACAAAGACAAGAAAAGTTACACCATTTTAATTGTTTTTTTTTTTTCTTCCCCAAAGTGAGTTTGAGCATGGTTGGTGTCTTCTTTCTTAAGTTACTCCAGGTGATAAGCAACACTGTAGATGAGTTAATTAAAAAGTATGCTGGTCAATGCAGCCAATTCTCCTTCATCCACAGTAGCAGCAGGCTGGTCTATACAACATAACATAGACACTGAGGAGGAAAATATGGAGGCACCAACGTGGCTCTGCTGAGTTCACATCAGTCAGATTTAAATCAGTCCCTGCACCAGTCACTTGAGCACTTTGGCACTGAATTCCCAAGATTTGAGAAAGGATTGTTTACTCAGACACACCACAGTGACTTACCACATTCATTTTATGTCCTGCTTGCGCTGATAAACCAGGGCACTAGAATGCAACGTCTGAACAGTTTGCAAGGACTGCAGTGGTTAGCCTGGATCCAGCCAGGCTTGTCAGCTCCAGCTGAATACTGGCCGTACTACAGCATAGCTGGCTCCAGTAAGAGCCCTGCTGCAGACTTCAGTTGGCTTGAAGGTAAAACCCAGCCACGCACTGAGGGCAGGCAGAGTCAGCTCTGGGACCTCTGCATTCATGTCAATTATCTACAGACAAAATAACGTGCAATAAACACATTTCTGTCAGTTTATGTATGGCCCATGGGAATTTTATGTCTCATGAGTTGTTACAGGATGTCTATATGCCTAATTCCAAACTTCCCAATGCTTAATTTTAATTCACCTAGATCGTGTTTTGGAAATGAGTTCTTTGCCAGAAGAAGACAGATTTCTTAGCACAATTACCCGATATACTCCACAACACACAAGTTGGAATAACTTTTTTCACTCTAAATTCTAACAACTGCAAACCCGTTACAATTCTACCTCTAAACCAGTTAAATTAGAAATAGATTCTTCTCTTTCCTTGAAATGTAATCACATTACACTGCTCACTCTAAACCTTTACTCATTTATTGCAATAGACTGGGAAGTTTTCCTTAATTTTTTTCTTACCAGGGTGATTTGTCTTGATGTGAGATTTTATAAGTCGATCTTCAGAAAATGACTTCTCACACACAGGACAGGAATAACTCTTTTTATCCTTAAGTGAGAAAGAAAGAGATTGCATTTTGAGTCCACTGGCGTAATCACTATAGTCATTATTCAGTAATGCATGGTTCTCAACAAAGTTATAATTGAAGGTTCAGTTTTTAAGGAAAAAATGATGGTATTTATAGTGAAATAAGTGAAGAAGAAATATTAAAGTACTCTAAGCACATCATTAATCCTCATGAATGAAGGGCTCCAAGTTACAGCACATGAGAACATGCACAATAAATGTAAGCATTATCTTCTGACTGACTCTTTAGAGAATCAAGAGTCGAAAGATCACATCACATAACAGAAGAAATCGTATTTGATATAAGCAGTAGTATTCAGAGCTTTTTCATTTTTTTCACAAGTCCACCCTTCTGAAACCGAAGGATAAGATCTCATTCTTCTGAAGTCATCCACTAGTATGTATATTTATAACACCACTTAATGGCCTGAGATTGACAGAAGACTTAACAATGACAGATACCATTACTTATTCAGTGTCTACATTTCTAACTACTTTATAAATATTCAGCTTTTTATGTATTACAAATAAAGTATTATTCTACTATTCTGATTTAAAAACTTATAGACTACTCTGGCTTTTATCAGTGTCACTGATGTTATAAAAGATTTAGCACCATCAAACAAGTTGAACTGGAGAGTTTTGATGAAATTTCTTCCTATATGCAATTTTAGTGTAACTGTAATTTTAATGTTTTTATAAATTAATCTAACTTCACCTAAAAATGTTGGACTTTTCTCCATTAATTGGTAAATGACCCAATTTAAAATAATCTTTGCAGCTTATTATACGAATTGAAGAGGTGGTTCTTTCCAGAAGCACCTGCTGACACAACAGCCTGGATGCTCAATCAAACGTCTGGGTCACCCAGTCACCTCTGCACTGACCAAATTAACATATGAATGGATTATCAAAAGAACAGGTGGAGTGCAGTCTAGTCAGTCCTGACAACAGATTACCTGGTGGCAGATGTGTACCCTGCAAACTACCAAGAGATCACTGTAAAAGGCGAGCTGAAGCTACACAACAGGTATTTCACTAGTCTCTTAAAAGCAAAGCAAAAATTGATGGGTTTTCATGGCAAATGGGTTTTGGAATGTGATGCAGGTGTTTGCATTCAGTATCATGTACTTCGGAGAAAGAAACCCCTGTGTTGAAGCACCTACAAGTTAAAATCAGAAGTAGCCCTAGAACTCATGGGCTGAAACAGCAGTAAGTACTTTCATGACGGTAGGATATGAGATATGACATTCTCGTCAATATGGCAATGGCATAAGGAGAATTCTGCCTGTGCTGTTAAGGAGGTCATTTGGTCCTGCGAGAAAAACCTACACCATGGACTGGGGATGGCAGCTTCTAAAGGATAATCACCCTGAGTGGAGCAAGGACAGTATCTTGCTATGATGGAGTTGGGGCAGTCACCATTTTGAGCCCTGAGAAGTGAAGAAGGAACAGCAGAGAACACTACCTGGTTTTTGGAAGACGAGACTCAAGGAGCCTACAATGCTGACAAAATCTTCTCTAGAGCTGTTAATCTGTGGAATTAAGGTCTCTCAAATGATACAACCTATTATCCCTAAACCTGCTACTGATGATTTTGGACACTACTCAAATGAAAATTGGTAAACTAATTCTAATAAAACTCTATAGCAATGTTTGCACCTTTTCAAAGACTGGATTGCATGATCACATTCATAATTTGTCACACATAAGAAAAACATAAACACAGTATCATTTAGGAGCGGTTGAGGGGCCAGCTGACAGATCTCAGGTCTGTTCCTGAAACTTGCTATACAACTGGTTTCAAAATATACAATAAATGAAGAAAAAAAAATCAGTATATTTTTAATGTACAGTTGGGTGTTGCTGGTCTTTAATACCCATTGTATTAAATATTTCTCAGTGTGCCTGGAACACTAAGACAAATACACCTTGCTGTTAAATAAGAAGAAAAAAAAAAAAATCACAACCCAACACTCCACACACACAGTACTCACTGTAATTGTGACAATTTTACATTCTTGCTAATACTCTTCAGGAGGGCAAGGCTATAAGCCTATGCCTGAGGGAAAAAATGAAAATCATCACTAAATGCATCAAGAGCTATAGAGCTACGCGAAAGTACAGGCACAAAGAACCTATCTTTCCACACGATGATGGCAACAAAATTTTTCAGTAACAAAATAATCCAAAGAGCTTTCTTCAAGCAGTTAGCTATCTACACCAAGTTCTGAGGTAAATGACCTTCAAGACGGGTATGTTTTATAGTGTAACACAGATTGTACTTCCAAGCACCGAGTCCCTTCAAAATGTATCTGTCAAGCTCCAATCTCTCACTGAAAGCATCCAGCTGAAGCCAAACCTTTCACAGTTGTTTGCCCAGGTCAGTTCCACAGACTTCTGGAGCTTACGTTATTAGTTTTGAATGTGTACGCGTACTTCTGTCACTGCCCTGAGAGCTTGTGACAGTGCTAGTCCTTCAGTGTAATCCCATCACTCTCAAAACCAGCCTTTAAGAAATCGTCTGTCGCAAACAAAGCATTTCAGAGCACCCAGGTCACCACACGGAGCCCCAGAGATGGTTTCCCACCCCCCAGCTCTAGGTCTTCAGAGTGTCCTTGTCACAGGCAATGACAGAGGCACGTTTAAGGACCGAGGCTGAGGGAGCAACTTCATCACATTCTCAGCACGCAAGTTTTCCTCTGGTAAGTATAAAAGTTATTTGTCCTATGCCTTATTGGAGTACCTGCTTTTTAAATGTTTTTGACGTTTTTTTTGAAGGACACAAACAGAAGCAAAGTATCAAGACAGCTGGATCTACCTTTGTTAGAGACCAGCTGCATAGTCCAATCAGCTGCTTAAATTTCAAAGTCACTTCCACACTTCCTGAGATTTGCTTAATCCCCCTATTAGCCAACTTGAGAAAATAGAAGAAACTTAAATAATTCTAAAATTAAGTTAGTTTTCTGACTGAAAGTACTGTTCGCATTCCACAAATCAGGAATGAATTAGGTCCATAAATATGCTTAAAGATAGTGAAAAAATTAGTCTAATGCTATCACAGATTTTTCTTGTTTCTTTGTAAAATAAGGCTGCTCACACAGGAATCAAAATGCCTTTCTCTTTATATAAATGAATTAAAATTGTGCTAAGAAAGCATCAGCTACATTGCATTACCAATTTATAGCTCTCTGAAGACAATTTTCTTTCTCTAAGGAATGTGTTTCAAGATAATTCAAGGGGTAGGTGTACTAATACACAGTCATGAAAAGAAAAATGAAAAGCCTCTGTATACTTAGCATTTAAACCAAGAGACCACTATGACGTTTATGTAATGAATCAAATAGTACTAAACGTGACCTACACTGCAAAACATCAGAAACATTAGCAGTTATTCTACTGCACACCATACGAAGAATATATCTGATCGTATATTATATGATCTATACGGCAATTCTGCCACTAATTTCAAAAGAGACAGTGTGAACTCCTGACTGCTTTGTTACCAGCTTCATTAATAGTGTAAAATTAAGACCACGGCCATAACAAAAAGTGCTTAGACCCAAATCAAATATGTTATAGAAATCAACAATCCATGCCCCTCCTTTTAGTAGTACTGACGTGATTTTATGAGCAGGAAATAAACTAAAGCTCTACTAAATATTGGCAGTCTGAGAGCATTTCAAGCAAAAGTTCCCACAACTCAATTAACGCAACATTTCATTGTAGAATTTCATAGAGAGCCAAAGCCTGCTCCTGCATCTACTCAGACCAAAAGAAATTTAATTTTTAATGCCCGTGGGAACAGATATAGGTCCTTGAATTACACTTCCGAGGAGTGATGACATCCAGAAATCTTCACAACAGCTGTCACGATATTCAAATCAAAATTTTCACGAAATATTCCCGAATTAAGCTCATGGCCTATTAAAAGGCAACTTGGTAAAAGGATACGATGTACCCAGGAGGTGGCTATGCACACGAGTAAAGGAAGCTACAGAAAAATTTGCACATGATTAGGCAGACTTTTATGAAGTCTGGCAAGCAGTAGAAATCACAGCTCACAAAATGACAAGCACCTGCACACAGCCCTGCTTAAGCATTTTTTCATGAAATAACCACTAGTAAGAATGAATAGCTAGCTGACATTCTTCATGGAAGCAAAGACCAAGAACAAAAGCCATTTCCCAACTGAGTGCCCGATCATTAGAACACAGATTTTTTTGGTTTATTCCTTCCCTTTCCAGTTCCTTGCATTCTTGACTACATAGTGGCACTGCTCCAGAGGCAAAGGTATCACAGTCAGACCAGTGACAGTCTGCAAATGAACACTCCTCAGGAAGGGGAAATAAGCAATCAGAGCTCAAGTATGGCACTTCCTACCAAAAGCTCTAAGTACGCTATTACATGAAAGGTCAGCAGCATAATGAAATTTCGAAGCATCCTTCCAAAGACAAGAATCATTTACATCCCACAATGCACAGGAAAGCTGATGTAGGCACCTCAGAGCAAGTGGTCGTTCTGGGCCTGAACTCTAGTTTTGTAGAGGTGCTTATCTTGCAGTCTCAATTACATATATAGATTTAAAATTTTTTCAGAGACAAACCTCTCCATGATGTTTATCTCTTCAGCACACTGAGTATTCTAAAACCCACTGCAGGTTGTAAACAAACTCTGCTACCTACTTCAGGATTGTTTAGTTCCACAACTGGTCCCTAATGCAACCACTAGCTCATTCATAACTGTAAATTATTCTAATCTCATTATAAACCGCCTATGCTTTTCCTAGGTACTGTGACACTGAAGTGATTCACATGTGCCATGGTTTGAAGTTCTGAAGAACTCCATAAATACTCCATAAACTGTCAAAAACCACTACACAAGCCTTAGGGGTAAAAGATGGGTACTGAAAATCAGAGATTATATGCAAAATTCTGGGTTTGAATCAAAGTGAGCTTCAATTCCCAGACTTCAAAAGTAAAAATCTTCCCTGTAACAACAATGTGTAGCAAATACAGAGACAAGAGGCAGCACATACACCTTTCCCATCACCATCATCATCCCTCAGGGAATAAACAATCACAAATTCAGTGCAAGACTTGGATGGTGTATAGAGAATAAGACGGGTGGCTGTACACTGAGTGACAAGGATGAACAGTAAGCTGCTTTTTAATAACCATAATTTATCCTGTTCACCAAACAATACAGGGATCCAACTTAAAAGCAGCCAGCAACAAGGCAACGAAAGATATGCATTCATAGGAGTTCCTTGTATGGAAAAAACCTGAGATTTTGATATCTTCTCTCTCCAGGGAACTTTAATCTCAGTATTTCTTAAGAATTGATTTTGCAAACTAAAATTAACATTGAAGTAGCTTTACACATTTAACCGTGCACAGTTTGTTAAATTACTATATTTTGGAATGAGTGGTCCTGTCCAGTGAGGTATGCACTAAGTAAATATACCAAGCAGTGGGCACAAAGGCCAATATGAGAATTGCCACTTTTAGTTACTGAGTAGATTCTAATACATGAATTTTTCAACCCATTTAAATACTCAAATATATTTGACAGTAAGCATACTTATGAAAGATCTTGCTGTCACACTGTTTTTAATTATGAAATGCATTTTCACGGTTCTATTTAGTATCATGAAAACGATCCTCCTGGTGGGAGCTGTTGGACATTCATCACACTTGAAAACCATGTACTTACGTCAGGATAAAGGATATCTAATTTTAAGCTCTTTTTTCTTAAGTAGTCTCAGATATCGTTTAAATAGATTTTTGCCATCAGATGGACATGATAAACACAGTAAATTCAAAAGCAGCCTAAAAGAACATGTATTATGCGAGCTTTCTGCATATTTCACAACAAATTCAGATTTTGTTTAAAATACCTACAGAATTGGGGGACAAAAGGGGGAAAAAAATGTTCTCTTTTGTGTCACCAGGTTTGTTTTGCTTTTTAAAGCCGTCCTGCATTTACAAAAGACCAGAGCCTAGCAAGAGTAGGAGGTGAAGTGTTCTGTTCTACCACAAACGCTTTTAAAGTAACTTCAGCTGTTGGAAATATTGGCCAAAAGCCCACCTGCTGACTGCAGAAGATGACCTGAAACCACTAGGGGCTGCATGTTAACAGCTTTTTTAAGTAGCTATGTAGAAATTGTCCACATCTGGGGAAAAATTAACATGAATCCTTAATTCAAGCATCACATTTCACTTATCACAGTACTTTAAGTGAGTTCTGATGTTGCTTTCTCATGTGATTAAGAGGAATTTGTCATATTTGATGCATTCTATAAAGGCTGTGTAAGATTCATGTACAAGACAATGCTGGTGAAAACCATAACGTTGTGTAAAGAATGAAGAAAGGCCCATCTGTGTGAACATTTCCTTTCTCTTAAAGGACAGAAGAGTGAGTGTGGCAATTAAACAACTGGTACTTTCTCCTCTGCTGGAATAAGAATAAAAATAAACTCAGGAGAAGGGTAAATCACCTTTTGGAAGTATTTTACTGCATAAATTCTTAAAAACCCAAATTGCAAGGATGTAGTTCATGCCAATTTTCTGGCATTATCAGTCAAGAAATAACTACAATTAACTACAAATTAACTAAAACTAACTACAAATACCATGCTTGTCAAACATTTTATGAAATCCTAAACTGTACTTTGCTCAATACCAGTAACTTCATATAAAATCATATGAAGCAGTATGGTCCACCTAAGCACTCCAGATGGTCTTCAAGAGACTCCAGTCAAAAATGGACTAAATTCACCA